CTTGATATAAAATTAGTTTAGAATGTTTTGCGGTGACATTGTGATCTCAACTGAATTATATCAACCAAACAAGTACACTGTAGATAGAGGATGTATGGACTTAAGAGGTCAGTATATTAGAAAATTACTTAAAACAGAAATAGCAACAAGCGAACAGTATAAACCCTCATAGCGATTCAGGGTGATATTTACAGAACCTATATATATATAAATCCCAAATATTCCAAATGATACCGTAAAAGATAAAGAGCTCGAGTTTCTTGTTGTTTTGCCGTCAATACTCTGGCTTTCTCATCTGAAAGTTGACAGCCTAATAGACATGTATATATTAGAAGGTAACCTTCCAGAAAGTTTAGATTTACGCTGTTGTTTAAGGTTGGTCAAAGTTCACTTAAGGTCAATATGTCAGCTTCAATAACCGGTTGGTTCACGTTGCATTTGTTTTCTAGTTACCGTAAATGTAGCCTGTGGATCTGTTAAAGCAAGAATACAGATATAAAAACCTTATTTATTATTTAGGTGTGGTCGTTTGTAATTACCGCGGGCTGCAATCGTTCTGAAATTCACAGATTGTAAGGCCATACTGATTTAATATATATTCCATTCCCGATTTAATGTAACAGAAAAACCTGTTCTGACCTATCTCATTAGTAAACGGACACAACCTGCTGCTCATACCAACACCAACAGAGAAAATAAGTCACGTCTAGTTGTTCTGTCCCAGCAGCTATATAGCCGTCATATTTTTTTTACGTCAAACGTTTTGACCCAGATCTACAAAGTAGTTTACTTAAGGTATGTAGTCAGGTTTACATAAGCAAGGCGTTTTCTGCAAGGTTTACCTAATCCAGATGTTCTGACCAAGGTTTACCTTGCGTTTTGTTCCAGATTTACAGACATCTGGTGTACTATCCCAGATTTACGTAAGCCAGTTGTTCTACCCCGGGTTTAGACATGCCAGTTGTTCTACCCCGGGTTTAGACATGCCAGTTGTTCTACCCCGGGTTTAGACATGCCAGTTGTTCTACCCCGGGTTACCATTGCCAGTTGTTCTACGGGTTTAGACATGCCAGTTGTTGTCCCGGGTCAACACCAGCCAGCTGTGTGTCTACCCCGGGTTTAGACATGCCAGTTGTTCTACCCCGGGTTTAGACATGCCAGTTGTTCTACCCCGGGTTTAGACATGCCAGTTGTTCCGTCCAAGATTAACATTGACCGCCAGTGTTCTGTTCCAAGTTACCATTAGCCAGGTCTACATTGGAAGGCGTTTTGTCCAAGGTCAACACCAGCCAGCTGTCCTGTCTGTCCCAGGTCTATACTTCCCGGGGTTTTATCCCAGGTCGACACCAGCCAGTTGTTCTGTCCCAGGTCTACATTACCAGGAGTTCTGACCCAGGTTAACACCAGCCAGTTGTTCTGTCCCAGGTCTACATTACCAGTGTTTCTGTCCCAGGTTTACATTACCAGGAGTTCTGTACCAGTTTTAAATACGCCATGTACCTAATACTCCAGGCGCTCTGTCTTAGGTTTACATCAAGAAGTAGTTATGCACCAGATTTACGTAGGCCAGGAATTCGGCCCAAGAGTAGGATAAGCTTAGTGTATCGTTCCAACTGAACATATCCTTCTGGTTTATATGGACATTGTCAGTCATACGTTCATATAGGTAGAATTTTGTTCCAAGTATACAGAGATCGCTTCGTAGCAAAACAAGTACTGTTTCTGAAACAATAAAGAAATCAAATTATAAACTTCAAAGAAGATAACACTCAATTTCCTTGAAGGAATGCCCATCCTGGATGACTAATCAGTTTAGAAATAAGTTCAATATTGTCGTGAATGGAGATATTTTGTAAATAATGAAACTGGAGAAAAGCTATGAATTTTTGATTTCGTTATTATATGTTTGATATGAATTCCCTAGAGGACCTTTCATGGCTTTACATACGCCCCCGCCAAAGTCATGATTGTAACAATACCATACAGCAATGCACTACCACAAAATACAATCTACGGATTGTTACTGCATTCATAATGTCATAAACCTAGTTAAATTGGATTGAGAAAGCATCTATGTCGGATGGAAATATTTTCCCTGTGACATGTTTTGATGTATGTCCTTTATGTGATCTCACTGAAGTAAATAAGCTGTGATATAAATATGTTTGATTTGATTTCACGTTTTCATGTTTATGTCGCACTTCTAGATTTGACCATACTGATTACCAGCGGGTGATCACAGTTTATTCATTTTCCTAATGGTTATCCTAGCAGGCTCTTATCTCGCTGTATCTGACCGCTCCCAACACCATTCCATACCACAACGCGGCGTATCTACTATACAATCAACGTTTTTATACATATATATATAATTTTGGACATGATAACATAACAGCGAACGGGAGGTAAATACACTGAAGAGAATGTTTTAAAGAACAACTCGATTTACCAATTTAGAAAACACCACAGGAAACATTTTGCAATCAAATTATGTGGTGTCGACAAATATTGCAGAAAGTGGAAACTGAAGACATTTATTACTGTCAAAATGTAGGGAAAACACTTCAACTGAAAAAAATGAACCTAAATGCCAATATTGGTACACTTCTGAAACTACCATGTGTTTTCCGAAGTAAGGATGAAAAACTGCGTTCTATGAATAATATAATTTATCTCGAATTTTATGACAGTTATGATTCAATTATTTATCAATTGTATTTTTTATCTCGACGTTGAGATCTATATATGTTTAGAGTATTATAGAAGTTTATATTGTGGTGATTCCGAAATGAGATTATCCATCTTCGCATTTGGGTAATATTGCTTTGAATTTGAGGTAATTGCTGTTTGCCCTTGTAAATCATTGCTGCAATAACTACAGTATTTTGGCTAGGAAAATGATATGTTTACACGGTTTCTAAGCTGTTGACGAGCACTACTGCTGAGAATCAGTTATCTATCAACCTCTGAGATAAGAACAATATGTATTGTTAAGTAACTAGACCATAAATATCACTTGTAGTGAAATCAGAAACGCTCTATCACGTCACGCTGAAGTTCCAATAGGTATAAGTCCTATCTATTAACCTTACCAGGTTGACAATATTTTATATAAGTGACAAAATCTTTTAACAGAATATTGGTTACATATAGGAAAAACTGTGCCTCTCTCTTGACCGACTTGTTTTTGGTTTCCTACGAGGTTCAATTAATCAAAGCTCTTATCCTAAAACAGATCGCAGAGTCCTTTAATTTTACTTTCTGATATAATGTATGTTGATGTCTTTTTTTTTTTAAAAACAATAAGAACTTATCGACCATATTCATTATATATACCTATCAAAATTGAAAATCAAGAACACGACAGACTCTTCTACATCAGCCACTTATCTCAAAGTTTTCATATTCTATTTCATTTTCGCGATATATCTTCCATAGATATAAGTATGCATGTTGATTTGGGTGTTGGAAATTCGGTTCTATACTTCATGTGTCTCTGTGTAAAGTTTGTTTTGCTCATTTTTTGCTTTCGTTGTAACAAAATTATAGCTGGGGCAAAGACTTTCCTTTTCTACACACTATTTCTGACTTTCCCCGCGAGGAATTACAGGACAACTACACCACACTTAACATTATTTAGAAAATTCGCTTCAAGTATATAAGTTCATTGAACTTCCTGTTTCTATGATAACGTTCATTGACTGTGACCGTGTTCAGACATATATGGCCATTAAGAGCGATCTATCAGATAAAAAGACAAAAGACAAAGTTATTCTGTTCTAATATTACAGTGAGAATTAATTCTGTTTGGCAAAAATTGTCTTCGTTATGAAATGATGACATTAACAATATTGTGCAATTTATGACGCAATGATTTATCTGATGTCGATGTAACAGAAACTACAAAGGTTTTCAGTGTCTCCCAAAGTAGATATAAGCCATTGTTCATGGCTCTGTAGACTGAAGAAAGGATGCTAAAGGGAACCCTGGTTAGCAATTGTAAAAGTAAAATAAATCTGAAGTGGGCTATAATTAATTTGATGCAGATAATTTTATATCGGTTAAACAATTTTGGAAATTTCAAAGTTCTAGGAGTGTCTTTTAGAAATTAAAAAAAAACCTCATGAACAATAATTGCATAAGTCTAGGATATCGTAAACATCTATACATAATAAACTTGACAATGTAACTTCTGAGTGTTATTTGCTGTATTGGAAAATGGTGTTGTTCTCGAAAGTTGGTTTAAGATTTTTTCTATCATCTTAAACTGGACTTCCAATATCCATTTTATAGAAGTACTTTTGACGGCACAGAAACAGGTAGACTTCATTAGTGGTCTTTGTGGTGCTATCTTGTACTTATCTTATCAAGAAAGGTACGTCAGATATCATATGTGTTGTATTTGTACTCGTGGGATGAATATTTTTTCACATTTTCCACTTGTACTTACTATTTGAGAAAAAATTCTTGACATCTGTTATTCAACGACAAGAAGAGTACTGACTATTTAGGTTAAAGTTTACGGTATTGTGACAGAACACTTGGAACCATCTTTATTGAAACTGTTATCAACATCGGATTAAACTAGAAAGCATTTCACAATAGGGGTTACATTTTACAACACTCTGCATACTGAAAATCGAACGGATAAAATAAAACACACACTTATACAATGTAAGTCATATGACCTTGAGATGAAGGCAATAGTAATTTGATTATGCATACTGCACACCATCTAGAAATCTGCAGGTATTAATGGCGTTCCAACAATTCACGTTTAACGCTTCAAAAGTTACAGGCCTGAGAAAATGTCGCATTTACATGTTTTTTTTTAAATTCCAGGTGAATGATTTATCTTAAGATTTTAGATTTGTCATCCGGAAAAGATTGCGAGAAAGACAATCAGGAAATGAGTAACTGTTACAAATATGTTTCTCTTCATTCGAAGGGAAGACCTAATGAATCATCTCTGACTTATATATACAGTGGTGAATACTTACTTCGTTCGGTATTATCTGAGGTTGAGCTTTCCGCATCTGTTTAATTGTTGATTGTATGTCCACCATTTTAGTGACGTCAGCCGACTGTATAGTGGCATCAAGGACACAATACAGCCCGCTCTTGTCCAAGCCGTTCCTACAGAAGGTAAGGGTACCATTTTTATGATTGTACAAACGACACGCAAATTAGATTTAGATAAGGTAGAGCCAAACAAGGGAGTCACACAGTTGTTTAGTCCTTCTAGGACTCGCCAGGGATTGAACCGCATCACACAGTTTTTTAGTCCTTCTAGGACTCGCCAGGGATTGAACCGCATCACACAGTTTTTTAGTCCTTCTAGGACTCGCATCACACAGTTTTTTAGGGATTGAACCGCATCACACAGTTTTTTAGTCCTTCTAGGACTCGCCAGGGATTGAACCGCATCACACAGTTGTTTCGTCCTTCTAGGACTCGCCAGGGATTGAACCGCATCACACAGTTGTTTCGTCCTTCTAGGACTCGCCAGGGATTGAACCGCATCACACAGTTGTTTCGTCCTTCTAGGACTCGCCAGGGATTGAACCGCATCACACAGTTTTTTAGTCCTTCTAGGACTCGCCAGGGATTGAACCGCATCACACAGTTTTTTAGTCCTTCTAGGACTCGCCAGGGATTGAACCGCATCACACAGTTTTTTAGTCCTTCTAGGACTCGCCAGGGATTGAACCGCATCACACACTCGCCAGGGATTGAACCGCATCACACAGTTGTTTCGTCCTTCTAGGACTCGCCAGTGATGCTAAGGGTCTTAATTTTGAAGCCTTGGCCGCAGTAGTTCAAAGCGGTAAAGCACTGGCTTCGTAACCTCAGATGAAGATCAGAGGATCTTGGTTCGAAGCTTCCTGCCCAGAACGGTAAGTGTTTTTTCAGGAACCTGAGAAATGCATTGGTCAGTGCTGACGTGAATGTGTTATTAGACAACGTATTTTACTCTTATTGCCCCGGATGGCATGCGACGAGTCTCCTGCATGTTGTTTATTGATAAATCAACCACTACACTACTACAAGGAAACCTCGCCTCAGAGTGTCCCTGGCTATTCTCGGGCGACAAACCCAGCAAACAATTTTCTCAATGATTTATAAATAAACAAAGAGATATATAATGTAGACCATAAGCACAAAACAACGGGACAAAATTGAAAGGAAAAGCTCATTAATTCTCAGAACGAAAAATGTTCAAAATTGAAAAAAAATGTCGATATCAAGTATTCAACATTTCCCTTGAATTGAAAGCAATTTTTTGTTGTTTACTTTCTAATATTTTTTCTTTAAATTGAGAAATAAAACCCAGAAAGACTCACATGCAGTGGACGAGGACTGTCCCCTGCTGAGAGGTTTGCCACTCTCGAACCAGCCCGAGCAATCTTAGGAACTCCAATGTCGATGTGGGACAGGCTTCCGTGGCGGACCACACACGTGATCGAAACTGTCGCACAATGGTTGGCATCTACACGTAAAAGACGAAAAAAAAACAGAAGAATTTACGAATTTGTCACCGATAAAAGAAGAATGCTTGAATAACAGAAAAGGGCAAGTTTCGTGTTGATCAGTCGAACTTCTACACACTGTCCCAGGAATTGTGCGTCGAAATTGATGACGTCATCAATTAATGACATGGTTACGCTACACAGAATGATGACGAACTATATGAAAGTTAATAATTATTCACACAAATAACAGAAGGTATTTTACTAGTCTTCAAATCTGACTGTTAATTCATTTCATACTTCATTTACAGTGTTCCTGTGAATGAAAACCTTTGCTTCTAGTAGCAAGTCTCTGGTCCCATAATACATTTCGCTACTCTGCAGGTGAAACTGTATCACATTACATGATCGATAGAGGCGACTAAATCATGGATTTGATCACTGACTTTTATAAATGTTTTTTTTAAAATAAATAGTGTATCCTAACATTGTCTCATTGATATCTGTTGATTGAGCGTTGTAGAAGAGGTTCTGTTTCCTGGCCGAGACATATCTAGGATCACGCAGTCACTAATTCTTTTCTCAGTATTGTGGTAGAGTTACAACTAGTTTGTCCATTACCAAGTAAAGGTAGAGTGTGGTGCCCTGATGTGTTAGCCTTATAACGTCAGCATCAATTTCATAAGGAGGCTTACACGAATATTTTGCAAACTCACCGAAACACGTACCCACAACATATGTACGCAGCACTTCCTCTCAATACATGCACTCAACACTTCCTCTCAATACATGCACTCAACACTTCCTCTCAATACACGCACTCAACACTTCCTCTCAATACACGCACACAACACTTCCTCTCAATACACGCACTCAACACTTCCTCTTAATACACGCACTCAACACTTCCTCTCAATACACGCTCTGAAAACACACACTCAACACTTCCTCTCAATACATGCACTCAACACCTCCTCTCAATACACGCACTCGACACTTCCTCTCAATACACGCACTCAACACTTCCTCTCAATACACGTACTCAACACTTCCTCTCAATACACGCACTCAACACTTCCTCTCAATACACGCACTCAACACTTCCTCTTAATACACGCACTCAACACTTCCTCTCAATACACCCTCTGAAAACACACACTCAACACTTCCTCTCAATACACGCACTCGACACTTCCTCTCAATACACGCACTCGACACTTCCTCTCAATACACGCACTCAACACTTCCTCTTAATACACGCACTCAACACTTCCTCTCAATACACCCTCTGAAAACACACACTCAACACTTCCTCTCAATACATGCACTCAACACCTCCTCTCAATACACGCACTCGACACTTCCTCTCAATACACGCACTCAACACTTCCTCTCAATACACGCACTCAACACTTCCTCTCAATACACGCACTCAACACTTCCTCTTAATACACGCACTCAACACTTCCTCTCAATACACCCTCTGAAAACACACACTCAACACTTCCTCTCAATACACGCACTCGACACTTCCTCTCAATACACGCACTCGACACTTCCTCTCAATACACGCACTCAACACTTCCTCCTACACGCACTCAATACTTTCACTCAACACGCACTCAACACTTCCTCTCAATACATCCACTCAACACTTCCTCTCAATACACGCACTCAACACTTTCACTCAATACACGCACTCAACACTTCCTCTCAACACACGCACTCAACACTTCCTCTCAATACACGCACTCAACACTTCCTCTCAATACACGCACTCAACACTTCCTCTCAATACACGCACTCAACACTTCCTCTCAATACACGCACTCAACACTTCCTCTTAATACACGCACTCGACACTTCCTCTCAATACACGCTCTGAAAACACATACTCAACACCTCCTCTCAATACACGCACTCGACACCTCCTCTCAATACATGCACTCGACACTTCCTCTCAATACATGTACTTAACACATGTATTCAGCACATGTAGTCCTTTCACATACCTAGTGATGTTGTCCTTAACAGTCGTTGTAGATAGGACCAAAACCAATAAAAATCCTAATCAATATAACTTTAATTATTTACTTTCCGATGAAAGATATTACTGGTTGAGATAGATAATATATTTCAACTTGTCAGATAAGTAACTGAGTATGTTATGGAGATAGCGGCAAAAAATACGGACTTAGTGGATATTTTTCCCTTTAGGATTCTAACCTGTTATTTTTAAATTGGACGATCGGTCTGATGATTTCAACCAATTTCGGAAATTGACTCTTTAAAATGACTCCTTTTCGTTCAGTCTTTGTCAAAGTTTAATGGAATCCATTAGAAACTTGGCATGTCTACACCGTTAGGGAACGAAAAGATATTAGCAGTGCTTTAGGGACAATACTAAGATCGCTAGGTTGATGAATTGAAACAAGAATATGCTAAAAAGCATGGTCAGCTGAATTTAGGGAGAATGAAAATTATTCCTTTAACTGACTAGATGCTTTTACACAGGGGGTGCGACGATTTGGTTAATTTCGGCTAGTATGTAGTGTAGGAAACTACAGCTGTCAGTGGCATTATCATGTAACTGAAGCTGCAGTTGTATCTAGTAAGGCAAACGTCGCCACGGACTAGTTTATATTCTTGTGTAATAGGGAAATGGAGTGAGTGCAAAGTAATTCAATGTCCGAACCTTGGTATTCTCTAGCAGTGACAAAAACGTCTTCTAACATATTTTAATGTCATGGTGTTAATGTGATAACCAGGTGTCTATTCAGGCATCAACGAAAAACAAGAAATACCGACATGTCCACATAATCGTAATCCAAACTCAAATTCAATAAAACTAGGGCAATAAAGCTGGTCGCAGGTCGGTGTTTTTTTTCCGACGGGAACGCCAGCTTTCCTTAACCATCCAAACCTGCTACGTGCTTAAATGATCATGGCTATTATCAGGACTTAAAAAAGTTTTAATGGGATGATGTACGTAGACAAATCGTGATTAGAAACAGATTAGCATTGATATTGCTCCATTCTAATGTATTCGGCTCTCACATTCTATCTCTCCCTATTCCAATAGTGTTTGTTATGTGAAGAATAAACGCGTTATTTTTAAATTAATAAAAACAACTAACTACTTTAATGAAACGTGGAAATTATTGATTGTTTTCAATGGTTTTAACACCCAACGGAGAACTCTAACTTGCCTCCTTTTATATTCACAGAATGAATTACATCTCGACAGGATTCCATTAATAAACCCAACAGGGAATGTAAATATCTTTCTCCACCAGCCAGTGTCATCACAAACATAACACGAGTAACTACTACAATAAAACAACGAGGATATAAAACTCGATTGTTCTGTTATATAAAGAACGGGTTTGAAATATTAACCAGCCTATTGATTAGCAGACAATCGTCAGCCTTCTAGGAAACGTAGGTATGCAGTGACACCTATATCTGACGGGCTTTCTTGCATTGTGTTAATGCTTCACGTTTTTATTCTGATATTCCTATTACTCTTTAAATCGTTAGAGCTGTTTATATATAACAAATATCAATATTCTTTAGAGACTTCTTTCAGCTCAAGCTATTCAAACACTGTAAACCGTACCAATTGACTGATGTGAAAATCGCGGCGTCGACAAACTGTTTTACGAGTTATCTGGAGTAGATTGGTTTTACCTTTTTTTGTAATCAAGAGTGAATTATCTCCCTTGGAATGGTATACTATTTTATCGAAGTATATCAGCTGATTCTTTTCTATTCTTGTGACCTACTATTCTAGCCACCCATATACGGAATTTAACGACTGCCAGATTGTAAATCCATATGACAGGATCATTGTCGATAAATTTATCGCAATTCAGTGACGAATCTTTCTCGTATCCATTACCAAGAATAGCCATCAGTTTTATCACTGTTAAAATAATTTACCGTGTCTGCATATAAGGCAACTAATAATTTCATCCTTGTCAGCAGACATAATTACATTTCCTGGAAAAAAAACTTCAGCTTACTCTGTAACTAAGGAAACCCTAAACATTATCTATGTAGAAAATACTAATTATTGTTCAGGTTCCTGTTAATTACATTGATGTGGACCTCCCTCGTTTATATTGAATTCTAAAACCATCACATGATCCATATACACAATAATTTTATTACTGTCTAGTTACTCAACCAAACCGGCAGTCTAATTGTGACACTGTCTACTCAGTGAGTGGATTGAATAGTGTAATGTATAGGATTTTCAATGAACTTAAATAGCTTCTTAACAATCTTGAACAGGCCCTCTTTTTCTTCTCTCATACTTTGTTTTCACACTATAACTGCACACTTGTACACCCTATGCCAAACCTTTTGGCCAATCTTGAACAGCCCTTCCTTTTCTAAAAGAATACTGTGTTTTCATGCTATATCTGCACACTTGCACACCCTGTGCCAAACCTTTTGGCCAATCTTGAACAGCCCTTCCCTTTCTAAAAGAATACTGTGTTTTCATGCTATATCTGCACACTTGCACACCCTATGCCAAACCTTTTGGCCAATCTTGAACAGCCCCTCCCTTTCTAAAAGAATACTGTGTTTTCATGCTATATCTGCACACTTGCACACCCTGTGCCAAACCTTTTGGTCAATCTTGAACATCATCTGCTTTTCTGAGAACGTACTATTTTATTTTATATCTACACACTTGCATACCCAAAGAACGAAAGCCTTCCTCCTCCGATTATGAGGGTTGCCTTCCCAAAGAAAGGTTAACGGCGGTACATATAAATGTTTCCCCATAGAAATAATTTGATATGTCCATCATGCATTCATACACCAAACAGAACTGAAAATCAATTATGCTTACTTTCCAATCTAGCGATTTCCGTGCGGGACGTAGACAGGTGACATATGAACTCACGACGCAGGATTTCGAGAGATGCAGGTATGATGGAACACTATGGAGAAGTGGGCCTCACAGTGATCGGATTTCCGTGTGCCATACAAATCTAGACCTCCTTTTTTCTTTCTTTTATTCATATTTTCCCATCATTTCATCGATTTTGGGTTTGGTTTGTCGGTATCAACGAAATAATTGCGACATGTTAAGAAAATCGTCTGTAGGTATTAAAGTGATAATGATTGTATGTCCGTAAGTTGATGACTGGCTGCATACGACTTGATTGTAATGGAGTGACAGTGTGCTTGTCCATGAGGAGTTCAATAGTTATGTACTGTGTGTATATCCGTCAGGGTGGGGTGGCTACATACCTCTTGTTGTATTGTAGTGACAGTGTGTGTATATCCGTCAGGAAGGGGTGACTACATATCTCTTGTTTGTATTGTAGAGACAGTGTGTGTATGTCCGTCAGGACGGTGGTGGCTACATACCTCTTGTTTGTATTATAGCGACAGTGTGTGTATATCCGTCAGGACGGGGTGGTTACATACCTCTTGTTTGTATTGTAGAGACAGTGTGTGTATATCCGTCAGGACGCTGGTGGCTACATATCTCTTGTTTGTATTGTAGCGACAGTGTGTGTATATCCGTCAGGACGGGAGTGGCTACATACCTCTTGTTTATATTGTAGAGACAGTGTGTGTATATCCGTCAGGTGGTGAGTGACAGCTGTCTTCTCCGTCACCACAAACGGTCCCACAATCATGTTTTCCTCGGTTGGCCAGTACACACCTACAGTGTCCTTCTGTAGCGGAAAGAGTGAAGGAACTTAGTAACTTAATTGTGATAATTGCATGAAAGTAATGTGATGGTCCATTATGAAATTTCAAGTTTAATTTTACAGTCCGCGGTTTTCTAGTTTTCTGGTTGTAATTAAAGTTGTAGGCGTTACACACTGTTGTAATTACAAGTGTAGGCGTTACACACGGTTGTAATTAAGGGAGTAGGCGTTACACTCGGTTTTAAATAGGAGTGTAGCCGTTACACACGGTTGTAATTAAGAGAGTAGCCGTTACACATTGTTGTTATTAATAGTGTAGGCGTTACTTATTGTCGTAATTAAGAGTGTAGACATAAGACATTTTTGTTAGTAAGGGTGTAGAGGTAACACATGGTTGCACTCAAAGATGTAGGTGTTAAGCGATGTTGTCATTAAGGACATATTCATTACACACAGTTAGATAGGCAGTAGGCGATTCCTTTGTCTATAGTTACTCTCAGGCTTAGATTATAGTCAATGGATTGTTCAGACGTACGGAATGAAGTATTACCACAGTGAGATACGATGTGTACGTACCTGTTCGTCAAGTTCTGTGTTAAGCATGACGATAGAAGTCACGTGTTGTTCATACACTAGTCTCCAGAAGTCGATGACGGTATGTGGGAGGGGCATTTGTGTGGTGAGATACTGCACACCTTTACTTCCGTCCTACAAAACAATATAACGATCTGTGTGGTCAAGTACTGCAAAACTTTACTTCCGTTCTAGAAAACAATTTAACCACCAAAACTACTATTTCTGACAAAAATGTCTCGCGTATTTCCTGATATTGAAACATCGTACTATTGTAAGCATACAGAAAAGTCATCAACGTGAAATCAGCGGGAAAACAGCATTATTTACAATGAATCGGTATTGGTAAGCTATGGAGATTCGATATACTGTCAAAGCATCACATTTTTGTGGGACTCCATTCTAGAGGTTTAAAACAAAACAAATATTACTCGGACTCTTGTTTTCGTGGATAAGTATAGCTTAATACGTGTAGTTATACTAATTGTAAGATTGGATATATAATTTCGTGGATTAAAAGTGCCCACGAAATCAGCGAACATAAATTCCCACTAAAAGAAACGATTTTACTATAGTCTATATAACTGCTTCAAGACATATGTTCCCCCCACCCCTCCCCCGCAAAAAGTATGAGGACGTCTCTAGCAGTCCCATAAAATGAGACATACTACCGTTATTCTATTTTAAAATAACTATGGATGGATGATAAATAAAATATATGATTTTTTTTCGCGAACAGCAACTGTAAAATAGAAAACTCAGGTAAATAAAAATATCCCAGTACAGAACACATATCGAACAAACGTGTCTATACAACATGCTACAGAACCTCTTATGCAGTCGTTTTAATTTCATGTTACGCTGAATCATACATATTTCATAGGAAATGAATATCATTTTCATGTTCGCTTCTTGAAACGAAGTTTCAAATTGACACAGATAACACATCAAATGTGAAATATAAAACGTGAAGTATATTAAATACCCAGGAGACCTTCTGTGGCGAGTTCTTGTTGAAAGTAAAACTTAAAATCGTTATTTGAATAATAATGAAATTGCTTAAGACAAGTGAAGAATAAATGAAATTCATGGAAATTAAGTCAAATGAATTGGTATCCATAGTAACAGTGACCTTCAAGTGAAGTTCAACGAAGTTGGATAAATGATCCCTAGAGAGTCAATTCAGACAAGACAACTATATACCTTCATGTCATGACGAGCACACATGAACACCGTTATTGGGATCTGTTATTGCGGTGACAAAACTTATAATTTACAAGGTAATGAAGCGACAAAAACAACAGAGACCAGTCCCTCGTGGATATTATGTAAAATTTAGGACTACAGCTATAAATGTATTCCAAACATATTTCGTGTTATTGTTCACGGATTTCATAGTAATCAATACAGATTATCATAACTCCTTTAACTGTGAATGACCTTTCACGTATTATGCGATTAATCATAGCATTTAAATAGGAGCGAGCTGATAAGATGTTTATAGCTGATTTGTAGATAAACATTTCTGTCTATATCTGTTCTTGAATAACTTACAGGCCATCCAGGCTGTTAACACTTGAATTGTATATACTGTATTGATTATTGGCTAAATACTCGTGAAATAGCATAATAACATAAGTGACATTGATACGAGGTTTTAAGTACAACAGGAATGCTTGGATTTACTCAATATAATCACTTTTGCGTAATTAGGTTTATATTTATTAATGGCAGGGTCATTTAAGGACGTGCCTGGTTTAGATGGTGAAGGTATAGCCTGGCGGATGGGACTTTAAACGGTGGCCCGTATGAGGATTGTTAACTCTCGCACGCTAAAGATCTCCTTGTGACTTTTCGTAAAACCAGTAGGTATAATAACGCCGGTTAAGAGGTCTAGGGGTAGTGTCAGACTGCACAATTATTTTTGAGTCATTAGACGGAATCAAAAAATTACCCTAACACAAACCAAGTCTTCTTTTCAGTTTCTGGACAAGTTTCAACTGGTAGAGTTAATATAATGCATTATTGGCTTATGGAGCCGTCTTCTAAAACTAGTATAATCAAACTATCACCTCTACAGACGGTTCCATCCCATTGAAGAGGTGCAGGTCGCCCCCTCACGTCGCCAGAACACTGACGTTCGTCGGTGAGACGATACCCAGACACGGGAGGAGTCACGGAGACGAAAAACCTGTCAACCAACCGACTAATGGATGGTGGATAAAAGTTGGAGATCTTAGAGAAAAACCACGGAACTGTGACCAGTAACCTGGCGACTAATATACGTTGGTCTCGCACTCGCGACACAGAGGCGGAGGGCTGGTGATAAAGGCGGTCAGACGCCTACCCACGCCAAACATTGAGATCATAACATTTTGAGTAAAAGGACAATCCTGGACGCTAATTCTTTGATATCATGTGCAAAACTCTCATAAAACACGTAAGATATTTATCAAAATTGAAAAGAATTTCTAAATGTCACGCCAATAGACTTACTGACAGGAACGCCGCGTTGATGTAGTCGTTAGTTCCCTCTACAGGAGTTGATAGGATCGGACGATATCTGTCAACTAAAATAACAGACATAGCGCTGCAATGATAGAGCATTATTACAGATGCACATTTATCTAGTTGTGAGTAAAGTTTTATCATAGTATTTATGCTTAGAACATTAATGTTTGGTTTACAATGAAATGTTTACAGATAAAAACATTACGATAAAGAGGAGAGCATATCAGTTGATAAAAAAGGTTATATGGCATTAACGAAATCCCAAGTACCCGTAGCTAAAGCATTGGGGTCCATTTTTCTAGATAATTAAAAGAGATAGTACTGCTCTTTTATTGAATTTTCTCTGATAATTGTACCTGGAAGGAGGTTGCTGTATCGGTTCTTGTGTTTATTTTCCTCTTTTTTTCCATCGAGGAAAGCACTTTCAGGCAGTTTAGGAGATACACTCTGTAAAACCTAGAAGATTGTGCAAAAGAAACATCTTTTAATACAAATTTAGAGTTAGATACAGTAGAGCCAAATAATGAATTAAACTGCATCATACAGCTGTTTCGTCCTTTTAGGACTCGTCAGTGATGCTACATCATACAGCTGTTTTGTCCTTCTAGGACTTGTCAGTGATGTTTCATCATACAGCTGCTTCGTCCTTCTAGGACTCGTCAGTGATGCTACATCATACAGCTGTTTGTCCTTCTAGGACTCGTCAGTGATGCTACATCATACAGCTGCTTCGTCCTTCTAGGACTCGTCAGTGATGTTACATCATACAGCTGTTTCGTCCTTCTAGGACTCGTCAGTGATGCTACATCATACAGCTGCTTCGTCCTTCTAGGACCCGTCAGTGAAGCTACATCATACAGCTGTTTCGTCCTTCTAGGACTTCGTCAGTGATGTTACATCATACAGCTGCTTCGTCCTTCTAGGACTCGTCAGTGATGTTACATCATACAGCTGTTTCGTCCTTCTAGGACTCGTCAGTGATGCTACATCATACAGCTGCTTCGTCCTTCTAGGACTTGTTAGTGAAGCTACATCATACAGCTGTTTCGTCCTTCTAGGACTCGTCAGTAACGCTAAGGAACTAATTCTGTAACCTAAAAGGTGACTGAGAAAAATCAGCTGTTTGTCCTTCTAGGACTCGTCAGTAACGTTAAGGAACTAATTCTGTAACCTAAAAGGTGACTGAGAAAAATCAAACGTGATCAAATGAAATGTCAGAATCTAGAGTCTAGATGGAGTGGTGCACAAGCCCGATAACTGAATAAATTTCGTTATTCTCACATAAATAATAATAATTTTAAAACAACATTGAGTAGAAATGTGTATTCTGATCCATGCCAGCATTAGGATGAATTTAAAGGTGACATGAAGGTTACCGCGAGGACTAAATAACCATCAGTAATGTCTACAAGCTGTAATCTTGAAGATTGTAGAAGACAAACATGTGGAAAGCATCTTTTATACAAAACTAGAATCAGATACTGTAGAGCTAAACTCACAATGAGTCTACTGAGCGTCAGGATAAAGTCTGCTGATCAATTACATCATATGTAAAAGGAAAAAATAAAAAAAGTGTTACACGAAATCGCTATTGACAGCTCATATCTATCAGTACAGAATAGTGGCTTCTAATCTTGAATACATTCATTGCCTTGTTACCCAATTATCTGATGATGAAAAATATCAACTGAGATGACCATGCTTCGCATATTATATATCGTTTTGGTCAGCACGCAAATCACGTTTGTCTGTTTTCATTGATTATAGAATAAGCTCTTACATCATCCGCGTGCAAGTTATTCTTATTTCTACCACGGAAAAATAATAAATGTACAACATTGTGTATAATAAAGTCCTTTATCTACCACGGAAATCAATAACTGTACAACATTGTGTATAATAAAGTCCTTTATCTACCACGGAAATCAATAACTGTACAACATTGTGTATAATAAAGTCCTTTATCTACCACGGAAATCAATAACTGTACAACATTGTGTATAATAAAGTCCTTTATCTACCACGGAAATCAATAACTGTACAACATTGTGTATAATAAAGTCCTTTATCTACCACGGAAATCAATAATCAATAACGGTACAACATTGTGTATAATAAAGTCCTTTATCTACCACGGAAATCAATAGCTGTACAACATTGTGTATAATAAAGTCCTTTATCTACCACGGAAATCAATAACTGTACAACTACCACGGAAATCAATAACTGTACAACATTGTGTATAATAAAGTCCTTTATCTACCACGGAAATCAATAACTGTACAACATTGTGTATAATAAAGTCCTTTATCTACCACGGAAATCAATAACTGTACAACATTGTGTATAATAAAGACCTTTATCTACCACGGAAATCAATAACTGTACAACATTGTGTATAATAAAGTCCTTTATCTACCACGGAAATCAATAACTGTACAACATTGTGTATAATACAGACCTTTATCTACCACGGAAATCAATAACTGTACAACATTGTGTATAATAAAGTCCTTTATCTACCACGGAAATCAATAACTGTACAACATTGTGTATAATAAAGTCCTTTATCTACCACGGAAATCAATAACTGTACAACATTGTGTATAATAAAGTCCTTTATCTACCACGGAAATCAATAACTGTACAACATTGTGTATAATAAAGTCCTTTATCTACCACGGAAATCAATAACTGTACAACATTGTGTATAATAAAGTCCTTTATCTACCACGGAAATCAATAACTGTACAACATTGTGTATAATAAAGTCTTATATCTACCACGGAAATCAATAACTGTACAACATTGTGTATAATAAAGTCCTTTATCTACCACGGAAATCAATAACTGTACAACATTGTGTATAATAAAGTCCTTTATCTACCACGGAAATCAATAACTGTACAACATTGTGTATAATAAAGTCCTTTATCTACCACGGAAATCAATAACTGTACAACATTGTGTATAATAAAGTCCTTTATCTACCACGGAAATCAATAACTGTACAACATTGTGTATAATAAAGTCCTTTATCTACCACGGAAATCAATAACTGTACAACATTGTGTATAATAAAGTCCTTTATCTACCACGGAAATCAATAACTGTACAACATTGTGTATAATAAAGTCCTTTATCTACCACGGAAATCAATAACTGTACAACATTGTGTATAATAAAGTCCTTTATCTACCACGGAAATCAATAACTGTACAACATTGTGTATAATAAAGTCCTTTATCTACCACGGAAATCAATAACTGTACAACATTGTGTATAATAAAGTCCTTTATCTACCACGGAAATCAATAACTGTACAACATTGTGTATAATAAAGTCCTTTATCTACCACGGAAATCAATAACTGTACAACATTGTGTATAATAAAGTCCTTTATCTACCACGGAAATCAATAACTGTACAACATTGTGTATAATAAAGTCCTTTATCTACCACGGAAATCAATAACTGTACAACATTGTGTATAATAAAGTCCTTTATCTACCACGGAAATCAATAACTGTACAACATTGTGTATAATAAAGTCCTTTATCTACCACGGAAATCAATAACTGTACAACATTGTGTATAATAAAGTCCTTTATCTACCACGGAAATCAATAACTGTACAACATTGTGTATAATAAAGTCCTTTATCTACCCAGGAAATCAATAACTGTACAACATTGTGTATAATAAAGTCCTTTATCTACCACGGAAATCAATAACTGTACAACATTGTGTATAATAAAGTCCTTTATCTACCACGGAAATCAATAACTGTACAACATTGTGTATAATAAAGTCCTTTATCTACCACGGAAATCAATAACTGTACAACATTGTGTATAATAAAGTCCTTTATCTACCACGGAAATCAATAACTGTACAACATTGTGTATAATAAAGTCTTATATCTACCACGGAAATCAATAACTGTACAACATTGTGTATAATACAGTCCTTTATCTACCACGGAAATCAATAACTGTACAACATTGTGTATAATAAAGTCCTTTATCTACCACGGAAATCAATAACTGTACAACATTGTGTATAATAAAGTCCTTTATCTACCACGGAAATCAATAACTGTACAACATTGTGTATAATAAAGTCCTTTATCTACCACGGAAATCAATAACTGTACAACATTGTGTATAATAAAGTCCTTTATCTACCACGGAAATCAATAACTGTACAACATTGTGTATAATAAAGTCCTTTATCTACCACGGAAATCAATAACTGTACAACATTGTGTATAATAAAGTCCTTTATCTACCACGGAAATCAATAACTGTACAACATTGTGTATAATAAAATCCTTTATCTACCACGGAAATCAATAATGTACAACATTGTGTATAATACAGTCCTTTATCTACCACGGAAATCAATAACTGTACAACATTGTGTATAATACAGACCTTTATCTACCACGGAAATCAATAACTGTACAACATTGTGTATAATAAAGTGGTATATCTACCACGGAAATCAATAACTGTACAACATTGTGTATAATAAAGACCTTTATCTACCACGGAAATCAATAACTGTACAACATTGTGTATAATAAAGTCCTTTATCTACCACGGAAATCAATAACTGTACAACATTGTGTATAATCAACCTTTATCTACCACGGAAATCAATAACTGTACAACATTGTGTATAATAAAGTCCTTTATCTACCACGGAAATCAATAACTGTACAACATTGTGTATAATAAAGTCCTTTATCTACCACGGAAATCAATAACTGTACAACATTGTGTATAATAAAGTCCTTTATCTACCACGGAAATCAATAACTGTACAACATTGTGTATAATAAAGTACAACATTGTGTATAATAAAGTCCTTTATCTACCACGGAAATCAATAACTGTACAACATTGTGTATAATAAAGTCCTTTATCTACCACGGAAATCAATAACTGTACAACATTGTGTATAATACAGACCTTTATCTACCACGGAAATCAATAACTGTACAACATTGTGTATAATACAGACCTTTATCTACCACGGAAATCAATAACTGTACAACATTGTGTATAATAAAATCCTTTATCTACCACGGAAATCAATAATGTACAACATTGTGTATAATAAAGTCCTTTATCTACCACGGAAATCAATAACTGTACAACATCGTGTATGATTAAGTCTTATATGAAGACGAGGATCCATTTATATATATATTTTGAATGTTCATATTATCCTCATACTTCGAGGTAGACAAATAATTACGGGGGGTTCATTATCAGACACGGCAGTGGACAAATACTTAAACGTTAATGTTACAGTGCTCCAGATAACTTTTTGACATGTGGGGTTTTCACTCCTACCTTTATAAATTGAGGGGTTTTTTCACCCCTGCCTTCATCAAGTGTATGGGTTTTTCCATATTAGGGTAACACTGAATTTGTAAACATTTTTGACAGCGCCATATTTGCTATGCGACTGGTTTATAATCACGATCAAGAAAGCGCTTGTTACGAGTTTCGTTTACTTGATAAGTGTCTGTTTGACTTAGATTATTGAGTTTTCTAACTACGTAATATTGGAGCCGGACATTGACGCAGAGTCCGGATTTCGCACGGGTTAATGACGCAATTCTTATTTTTTTCCTAGCGTGAAATTAGAAATATTGTGCGTGAAAACGCATTCACGCAGGCTATCTGGAGCACTGTGTTACACATTATGATGTCAATTTATCGATGAATTAAGATATAATTAAAGGGCTGTGTTGCATATAAATTACGGTGTCCCAAAACTGTGTATAATGAAGTGTTATATCTACAGCTACAAGACTGTGTGTAATTGAGTCTAATGCCAAAAGGAAGATCCAAGATTTTGGGTGAGAAGGTGTAATGAATGTTATAAAATAAAAGGACTAGGCTGCCTGCACCTATCTTCTGAACCAGTTCTCACGTACTTGACAGCAGTTATGAAATTTTACAATAGAATGAAAACCAAAGAACATCGATGGTGAAACGAGAAATATTTTTGATAGTAAAAGTTACTGTTTCGACGATGTGATTACCAAGGGATAACGCCAATTGCAATGAACTTTTCAACGTCTGCTAAGGGGCGTAGCTCCGAAATATTTTACGAATACAGATATCTGCGCACCTCCCTTCTCCGGATCCCCTATGACACCAACTACAGTGGTTCAATAGACGTACTTATTTGAGTAAAAAAAAATAACCCTGATATTTACCACAGAGGAAATCAATAGAATTATAAAATTCAATGTGATAAACATCTTATATCTACGATAGAAACTCAACAGAACACAAAACTCTTTTTTGATAAACTTCTACCACAGAAACACGACAGAATACAAAAACTCTTTGTGATAAACTCTTACATCTACCACAGAAACACGACAGAATACAAAAACTCTTTGTGATAAACTCTTACATCTACCACAGAAACACGACAGAATACAAAAACTCTTTGTGATAAACTCTTACATCTACCAAAAAAAAAAAAAAAAAAAAAAAAAAAAAAAAACGACAGAATACAAAAACTCTTTGTGATAATTTCTTACATCTACCACAGAAACACGACAGAATACAAAAACTCTTTGTGATAAACTCTTACATCTACCACAAAACAAAACAAAACAAAAAAAAAAAAAAAAAAACGACAGAATACAAAAACTCTGTGTGATAATTTCTTACATCTACCACAGAAACACGACAGAATACAAAAACTCTTTGTGATAAACTCTTACATCTACCTCTTTGTGATAAACTCTTACATCTACCACAGAAACACGACAGAATACAAAAACTCTTTGTGATAAACTCTTACATCTACCGAAAAACAAAAAAAAACAAAAAAAAAAAAAAAACGACAGAATACAAAAACTCTGTGTGATAATTTCTTACATCTACCATAGAAACTCGAAAGAAGTACAAAACCCTGTTTCATATACTCAACAGAACACATAACTATGTGATAAACTCTGGTGTGTACCACAGAAACTTTATGACATTGTAAAAGTTAAGTGTTTCAATTTACACAGATATATGTACAGTTACACAGCCTTTATTGAAAGGAACTCACCTCATATTCCACCTGTAATTGTCGGAAGGTTTCCCTAAACACGCCGACTGGTATTGCTGTATAACCGTGTAGATGTTCAAGCAGGGCCTCGTGAATAAACTCGAATTGTTTCTAGAGAGTGTATAAAGGGAGGTAAGTGTAATTCATTTGAGAATTTTACCACAAATCATACCTACAAGCTGTTCAGTTCATTACATGTGTCTAAAACTATGTGGCAATTCTAAGTTGTTATACAAGATAAGAATTCTGACTCATTTTAGTAACACTTACTTAAAAGTCATGTCAAGCTTAACTATAATGGCTTTACTTACCTCATTTCTTAGTTTAATCTCAACTAAGTGGCATTCATGATACTATATGATGACGTTTCCGTCATCTTCGAGGGAATCGATTCAAATTTTCATCGAAATTCTGTGACGCAGATTTAATGTACATTATCTCTCTCTTTTTTTTATACAAATATAACATATCGCATACCGGGTATAAAACCGAGATACATATATATACCGTTATAAGTCTAAAAGAACATTTGCACTTTGCACGATGAGACGACAAAAATCCGATGTTTTACATTCATTCCACATGAAATGGAAAAAAATGGACGGCAAATATCAATCAATCATTGGTTAACACATTTTATAGTAATTTGTAGTCTATATGTTAATTTGAAATCTGCTGTGAAAGGACTTTTATATCTGTATATGTTTAAAGCTGTCAAAGTTTACCGACGTTTAGAAAGTGGAATAACTTTGATTGGAATGTGCAATATCGTATTTGTCTTAATATAAGTGTTTATACATAAAGGGTAGAAGTATTCGTACAACGATGATTGTTACACGCTACAAATAAGTTTATAAGACAATTCCATGTGGTTTATATCAAGAATCGTTGACATTAAAAAGTATGTCCATGGCATAATACTGACGTTTATAACATAGAGTGATGACGCTTATAAAAAAGAGTGATGACGTTTATAACATAGATTGATAATGTTTATAACATAGAATGATTACGTTTATGGCATAGAGAGGTGACGTTTATAACATAGAACGATTACGTTTATAACATAGAGAGGTGATTCTTCAATGGGACAATGACATTTTCACATAATCATGTCGTTTACATTATATGAAGTTGACCTTTTAAATACCGCGATTAGATATCACCTGCTGGTATGTAACAGTCGTTTATATCGGAAAGGTTATAGAGTACTGATAATATGACCTATTCATGTCAGTTTGGATACATAAAGCAGAATACATACCGCAGTCTGAACCATGTTGAGTCTCTGTCTACGCAGCGTTTCCACGCAGCGCGTGACGCTGACGTAACCAGTGGCAGCTGCTTCCTGAACCAAGCATGCCAAGGCGATGTACGTGCCCGTCCGCCCTATCCCAGCACTACGGCGTCACACAATCAGTGTTATTGAAGTTCATGTAAGCGATATCATGATCGTTATGTTTAAAAATGTTGTTTTTCAACTCTTTTCAACAGCTGCTTTAAATCTATTTTGATACCGAAACATCTTTTTCACTGCCACAAGAAATTATATAGGTACTTATTTATGTTTTGATACCTGTTTGAGGCTAAAGGTTTAGTCAGTTATACACACTTTAGTATACAACAGCAGTACCACTATTTGATGACATTGCTATATCTCATAAGCGTAACCGTTTTCAATTTATAATTGATTGCCAATGAATGCGAGGTATGTTTGGAAATAGTGCCCGTGCAGGATTTTGGGTAAAAGAAAATGCATAAACTTTTCTGAAAAAAGTAAGAATTATAGTCCTTTTTATTAATACTGATCATTTACCGATGTATCAATTTGCTCTTTGCTACATCCAAACAGGATTTGAATAGCATAGAACACAGCTCGCTTTACTGATATGAGCCCTTTTACTAAAATAAGACTATATTCTAAAAACTGGTAACTTTATTGAGATTTAACTGACAATGAATTTCTGGTGTGAATGCAAATGTACGGAAACGCGACTTTTAGAAATAGATATTGACCTTCGTCATTAGTAACCAGCTAATGTACAACTACATTTACCTGCAATGCACGACTATAGGCACCTCCAATACCTGCGTCTCTACTTTCCGGTAGAACTGGACAAGGGATGAAGCACTAGGTGGGGCTTTCTGATCCGGCCAGGCTGTGTAGTGGAACATAGTTACTGCTCTTGTCATATTACCCTGTGTTTATAAAAGGCAATATATCCGTGAGAAATGAATTAGTGAAAAGACATCAAGAAAATTTATTGTTATGTTTTTGAGGCACTAAATTCTAGTTTTTCAAGATCTTTTGGTTTGTCTATTGGTTTTTTTTTTTTTTTTTACCTTTTTTGTCTTTGAGAACGTGACATTAACTATTGAATACAACAGGATTTACATCGCGAGTGTCGTGAGGAAGCAGAAGACGTTTACTCTTTCGGAACACCTGGTTTTATTCTTCTTGTATATATTCAGGAGTCTTCGTGTAAATTTTTCTTTTTTTCATTTGTTTGCAATGGTTTTATTGAATTTGAGTTTGGAATATCATTATGTTGACATATTGGTATTTTCTGTTTTTTTTTTCATCAAATATGTTTTTTTTTACAGTTTTACCTATAAAGGTACACTACACAAGAAAATCACGAAACAATGGTGGGGCATAACGTTTCCTAACTGTGGAGACAGTGTGAAGTTTGGTGAATATACACAATATACTTACTTTTTGCACTTTTAAGTGTCTGATCATAAACGTTGCAAGACTCTCTTCTTTTTCCAAACTGACTGTTATAGAACTGAACTGTTCACTCCCTCTGTTAGGCCAGTACTGTTTGCATTTTGACTGGAAATGAACCATTGAAATCACTCGTGTTTTCCATTATACCTCTCTTACCAAATTGTGTTCATATCCATTATACCTCTCTTATCAAATTGTGTTCATATCCATTATACCTCTCTTACCAAATTGTGTTCATATCCATTATATCTCTCTTATCAAATTGTGTTCATATCCATTATACCTCTCTTACCAAATTGTGTTCATATCCATTATATCTCTCTTACCAAATTGTGTTCATATCCATTATACCTCTCTTACCAAATTGTGTTCATATCCATTATACCTCTCTTATCAAATTGTGTTCATATCCATTATACCTCTCTTATCAAATTGCGTTCATATCCATTATATCTCTCTTACCAAATTGTGTTCATATCCATTATATCTCTCTTATCAAATTGCGTTCATATCCATTATACCTCTCTTACCAAATTGTGTTCATATCCATTATATCTCTCTTACCAAATTGTGTTCATATCCATTATACCTCTCTTACCAAATTGTGTTCATATCCATTATACCTCTCTTATCAAATTGCGTTCATATCCATTATACCTCTCTTACCACCTCTCTTATCAAATTGTGTTCATATCCATTATACCTCTCTTATCAAATTGCGTTCATATCCATTATACCTCTCTTACCAAATTGTGTTCATATCCATTATACCTCTCTTACCAAATTGTGTTCATATCCATTATACCTCTCTTACCAAATTGTGTTCATATCCATTATACCTCTCTTACCAAATTGTGTTCATATCCATTATACCTCTCTTACCAAATTGTGTTCCTATCCATTAAAAACATCACAATTCGATTCTTGTGAGTAGCTTACTATCGTGATCAAATTAACTAGAAATAAACCATAATCTCACTGTCACCTAATTATAGTTACACTCTTGTTTTGTGTGACGTTAAATAAATTACTTTCCAACACGTTCCTGCCTCTTATGCTTGTTATGATCATGGAATCCTACCTTCCCGTTTTCAGTCAGATTTGTCAGCATCACAATTTTGGTACTGCCAAGCTGCCACACCATTCTCCAAAAATCATTTACTGTACTGTCCATTGGCCCTGAATTCCCCGGAAAATGAAATATGAATAGACGGCATCAAAGTTTTTTTTGTTTTTGTTTTTTTTTTAAGATTAAATATGTGTATAAGCTTTTAGATGGCATCAAGATTGATTTTTAAATTAGATCTGTTGATAAACATTTAGGGTATAATTTATATATGTTACAGTGGTGGGATCACGCAGTGTTACACGACGTGTGCACACGACGTTCCTAGTGTGTTACCACACACGCAGTATGTAATCCTGTAAAATAGAAGATGTTATACGAAGTGATTAAAGTATAGATACCTTGGGCAGCCACGTATTGATGGGTTTTCTCGTATCCCTTCAGAAATAAAAAAAAATATATAAATAGTATTATAAAACTTTGTTACCACGCTTCTCATCCTCGATACTCCAGGAGTTACGATCACTGTCACTGAAAAATGGAGGGCACAAGCGAAGTAACTAGATTGGTTCCAGGAAAAACACCACTGACCAATCACAAGCTGATATGCTTCTTTTGAAGATTCAAAGGAGCGACACGCAATTTCAAAACCATTGCAATGTACCATTGTGAGACCTTCAGATTCGTTTGATGTACAAAAAAGGATCAAACTAGTCTTTTCGTCTTGTCCGCACGTGGGACCTTAGATTTTGCCACATGTTCCAGGAGTGCAGAGAGCGATAGTGATCGTAACCTCTGGAATATCGAGGATGCATGCTTATAACACTTGCAATACAACGTAAAAATCACGACTTCTTCCTGTCTGGTCCTCAGATTATATATCATTTCTCAAAAAGCCATATGTACTGCATTTGCTTTTACCAGAACATTCGCCATGCATTGTAATCTCGAGATATCTTTAAAACAACAACAACAAACAAATAAACAGAAATAAACAATAATAAAATAATAATAAAAAAAAACAAAAACAAAAACAAAAACAAAAAATGGAAAAAAAACCACCATCGTTGTAAATCTATTCTACAGTATTCCCACCTTTTAAAGTATAAGTATCTTAAATGAAGTATTCTATATCATCTCAATTATTCCTGATTCCTATGATAAATATTACACTGTTCCCGACAGGAAAGTTGTTGCTGTGACTGTGGTACTTACATTTATGTAGCTCGCATTAATATAATCGGAGGTATCGCCATTTTCTTTCTCCAGACAAACACGGGTGGAATCGTCTAAATGGAAGGAGATAGTAAAGTACAATTTCATCTCAACGCAAATTGGAGCCCTAAACGCAACATCGTAACGGAAAGATTATACGCAACAAAGCGGTTAAATTCCAGGAGGATTCTTTATCGCAGAAAACATTTCAATTATTGGAAAATATACATCGAAACTGCAGTGTTAAGGAGAAAACAAACCTGGACCAGTGCGACACAAGAAAACCCACATTGTACATACATTATACACAGAGATATATCATGGAGATGTGTTACTGAACTCGGGGGAACAAAGTTTGTAAAACAAACAAACAACAATGACAATCCACAAGTTAACATGATATTCAACATTGACAAATAACAACGATGATCATACCGACATGTTGACGGAATCATGTCTCAAACATAGATTCGAAGATCACCATATGAACAAATGTAAGATATAAACGGAGACTGCTGGGAAAGTAAAAGGAGAATAAGACCAGGTGTGACATCGATAGGAATCTGACGTCAGAAGGAAACAAGCGGACTCTACAGCAGCTCGGCTTGATGGTTTTAAATGTATGGTAAGTACTGTCAAAATACGAAAGTTTTTGACAATGAGTTGATATTCTAGGCTAGGTTAATATTTGATATTATGGGTTGTACATGTACATGATTTAAGCTGCTTTAATCGGTCGATGTTGATGTTTTCCTCCAGTTTATTTGTAGATTAAATAATTGTGTACTTACACGGAAACACTTGTTTGTATCTATTTTTAGACTTGTTCTCTGGCAGGTTGGCAACGTTTGCTTGTTCTTGTAAACCTTCTTTAAATTTCTGTTGATGACAAATTAATTTACATCGTAATGCCCATCAAACGTATATATACCAAAACCAACACTTATCATCGTTAACAAGGAAAATATATTTTGTTCAACATTTGTCACAACATCTAAACAACGGTAATTGAATGATAAATACTGTACTTAGAAGTAAACAAAGCATTTATCACATTTATTATAAATTTATATATCTAATGAAGTTTTTTTGGATAAATTGAACTATTGATATATCGATGAAAAGATACTGAGAAAAAACAACAAATATTACTTTTCTGTAGGCAGGTAGATCAGGTTTACAACTTCTGATAAGGCCAAGCCTCTATGAGTATACAGAAAGCGATAGTACATTTCAGACGTTTAGTTGACATACACAACCTGGTTTATTCTGAAATCGTATTCTAATACATGTTTCTTATCTGAAAATTAAACCGAAATATTTACTGCGAATGTTGAGGTAACGTAACCCTCAACTCTCAGATCCCTCTTCACGAATACTCCTAGTGTGTCTACAGCTATCATTCCCTCGGGCACCTTGGAGAGAGGGTTAAATTCATAGTAAGTGTTAGAAACCTCTTTCGCCTGCATCACCCTGTCATCTATATTATCGAAACTATCACTGAATGAATCGTAGTCATCTGAAAGAAATCAAAATACTGTCAAACATATCATTTAGAAATACATTATGAAATTGATCACAACATATTTAGTCAAAGTACTGTCAAATATGTCATTAAAAATATATTATGAAATTGATCAAAACATATTTAGTCAAAATACTGTCAAATATGTCATTTAGAAATATATTATGAAATTGATCAAAACATATTTAGTTAAAATACTGTCAAATATGTCATTAAAAATATATTATGAAATTGATCAAAACATATTTAGTCAAAATACTGTCAAATATGTTATTTAGAAATATATTATGAAATTGATCAGAACATATTTAGTCAAAATACTGTCAAATATGTCATTAAAAATATATTATGAAATTGATCAAAACATATTTAGTCAAAATACTGTCAAATATGTTATTTAGAAATATATTATGAAATTGATCAAAACATATTTAGTCAAAATACTGTCAAATATGTCATTAAAAATATATTATGAAATTGATCAGAACATATTTAGTCAAAATACTGTCAAATATATCATTAAAAATATATTATGAAATGGATCAAAACATATTTAGTCAAAATACTGTCAAATATGTTATTTATAATGATATCATTATTAAACATGTCGATGATGAAATAAACAAACCATAACTAGTTTAAACGATATTAAACATGAACATGTCGATGGTGGAGTTGTTCACAACAATCTTTTAATCTCTGAAAACATTATTGATATTAAAATGCATATGTTATCTTTAAAATGGAAACGAAAACTAGTTTAAGTAATGCCATTATACATTACCAGAAATATCGGAATCCATTTCTGCATAATTTCTTTTGAATGAAGACTTTCTTCGTACTGGGTATTGGACCTCATTTTGTCTCTTCATCTTCCTCCTGAAACGTTGTGGTTATACACATACAAATATATTTTCATCGATATATTTTTTTACATTAAGCCGAACAAACCCTATTATACAGATATCATCAATAAACTAGACTCATACTACAAAACCACTACCCAAACGTAATGAAATCCTTCACAGGGAATCATGATATATGTATTCATGTGCAGTTGAACCTCATTATCCCGAACTTTTATAACTCGAAGACCCGGTATAACTCGAAGACCCGGTATAACTCGAAGTAATTCGTCAGTCCCGGGTAAACACACTGTGCATTCAAATTTTCCTTAAATCGAATTCTCGATAAAGTTTTTTCACGGTTACATCGACTTCGAGATAATGAGGTTCGGCTGTACTTGCTTTATCTACACCTGACTTTATAGTAAAAATACATTGTAGGTTATTTGAATTCTTACTAATGTATATATACTGAAAGGATAAAGAAACGCAGGGTAATATTTATTCCGATATTTTGAAAACGCGTTCTCCAAATAAAGTGAAACTTTGTGGATTGAGTAATTAGGTCATATTACACCTTGTCATGTATCGAAAATTTAGTCACGGTACAGTGCGCAGCTCTGGTAAATGGAGGAAGGAAAAAACAAGAATCTCGTGCACCGTGTTGTTCTGGTCTCATGCAGCGTTGGTCTAGTCACTCTTCGTTAGTCTTTATACAGGCCAACTGCTTCCCTAAAATTGATTGAGAATTTGATTCGTTTTAAGAAATGCACGACTCACAGAAGTTCATAGGGGTCAGGCCATTCAGATGCTGATGCAAGGACAGCTGCAAAATCAGGTTGCTAGGCACTTTGGTGTTAATGTTTCCACCATAGAACGTCTTGTAAGACGTCTTCGGGAAACTGGGCGATTGGCCGATCGACCTAGGTCAGGACGACCGCGCGTAACGTCACGACGTCAGGATCGCTATATCGTCGTCTCTCAGGTGCGTAATCGGCGCCTTACTGCCGTTGAGAGTGCACTTAATGTTCGTGAAAATCATGGGCGTCCTATAACTGTAAGGAATCGATTACGAGAAGTTGGTGTAAGAGCACGTCGCCCCTACGTAGGTCCACACCTTACCCCTGATCGACGTCAGCGTCGTATGGCCTGGGTCGCTGCACATGCTCCACGACGGTTTCCACTGAGGCAGTGGAGACAAGTTTTCTTGACGGACGAGTCTCGACTCTGTCTTTATCGATCTGACGGCCGTCAACGTGTGTACCGACGCCGTGGCGAACGTTTTACGGACGCTTGCGTTGTAGAGAGGGATAGGTATGGGGGCGGTTCAGTAATGGTGTGGGGAGGAATCTCACACGGGTTAAAATCACAATTGGTTGTTATTGATGGCAATTTAACAGCAGCTAAGTATAGAGATGAGATCCTCCGACCCCAATTTTATCCCTTTCTTACAGCAGCATAATCTAACTCTCCAGCAGGATAATGCTAGGCCCCACATAGCAAGGATTTGCCAAGTCTTTCTGGTCAACAACAGCATTCAACCACTAGATTGGCCGCCATATAGCTCTGATTTGTCCCCGATCGAGCATCTTTGGGACCAGTTGGATAGACAGGTTCGAAAGCGCCAGCCACCCACTGCTACTCGAGAGCAGTTGACCAGAGCTTTGATTGAAAAGTGGGACAACTTCCCCATAAGACGGATTAACGCTCTCATGAACTCTATGACTAGAAGAATAAGGGCCGTGACCACAGCAAACGGCGGACACACAAGATATTGATGACTCAGTTCAATTTCAATTTCAAAATCCTATGGGTCCATTCAATTTAATCGTTAGTACTTCTAAACCAATTGTCAGATGCAAAATACAGACTTTGGAATTTTTTAAGCTTTAATTTATCTGTAAGTATACAAAATTTCGTTTTAAATGAAGCCCGATATCATACTTAATTTCTGGTTTAAAGTTCACCCTGCGTTTCTTTGGAATTTTTTAAGCTTTAATTTATCTGTAAGTATACAAAATTTCGTTTTAACTGGAGTCCGATATCACACTTAATTTCTGGTTTAAAGTTCACCCTGCGTTTCTTTATCCTTTTAGTATAGAATACTTTCTGTATGTCGTGTTTCATTTAGGATTTAACATATATTTGCCCGAGAGATACAGTATCCTCTGGAATACTGTTCCAAAAAGTTAAAACTATCTTTGACAGTGACATCGTACAGAACCTTTTGTTTATTATCAGCAGGGCGACAACGAAACACACGATGAGTACTACAAAGGTTGAAATGAGACCAGCTCCTAGACCAGATGACATCATATCTGCTTGCTGAGATTCTACAATAAAACATTTCAGAATTTATATAGAAAACAGTCCAACTGTCTTAAATCAACAGCAAACAAAACATAAAACGAAAATGTGATTTTCTGGAAGCACTCGGCATGTTTTAATGTCTTTCTTTAATGTTTGAAAGTGTATTGGTCACAAAAAGATCTAGAAATGATGATGAAGGATTCCAGAATTATCACAGCTAGCAACAGACCCGTCAATGATGATGAACACCAGAATTATCACGTCTTACCAGAGACTTTAGGACAGAATCCCCTTTAGATGGTTTTTACACTATACAATATTTACCTGCAGTGATACAGCGAGGTGGTAACGAATTCCATGTTCCGTCTTCCTGACAAGTGATAGATGTTGGACCTGCTATGATGTATCCAGAAGAGCAGCTGAACCCCACGTTTGTCCCGAAATAGTGAGTCTTCTCGCCGGATGCGTTTGATACTGTCACTGTGTCGTACAATGTAAATACGGGGCATGCCGCTAGTTCTGTACAAGGCAAAAACAGTTTTTGATAAATGCCATTGGAACTTTACACACGACAGATTAACATCTGTTTTCTCCTGTCGTTTTAAAAATATGGATATCTGAAGAAAAAGTGAATTTTCTCAGTCCATGGTAGTCTGATTTCCCCGTTTATTCATGAACACATTAAACTGTAACTACTTTCAGCAGTATTGCTGTAGTTGATATTTGCCAATGGTATATTAAAGTCAAATTGACAGCTTATAAATAGAACGCGTCAAGGAGACGGAAAACCAGTAACCGACCAACTAAAGGCAAATTAGTAAAATAAAAAATAAATCATCTTCAAACGAAACTAATCTAATCGTTTATAATTGCATTCTTACCACAGAACCAGAATGATCATAAAGCAAAAAGCAATTCGGAATAGGATGGACATTAGGAGTCTAGGATGTTAATAATACTCACGGTGACAGACAGGAAGCTGTCCATCCCAGGTCCCGTTAGCCTGACACAATAGTGAGGTTCGTCCGTCTACACGGTACCCCTGATCGCAGGAGAGATGCAGCTCGTCCGTATATCGGTATTCCATGTCTGTCAGTAATAAGTGTTCGTCCGTAGTTACTGGGGTGGGACAAGATATCGCTGCGGAGAGTGAGATACGATACGGATTTCTTGTACATATAGCATCAGATTTACACAATACGAAGTCGATACGAGATTTCAAGATTTTAGCTGAAGTAATGAATGGTTTCAGATTTGTAGAAAATAAACTTAAACCGCAGAAAGTTACATACATGAATCATATACAGTGTAGTTCATTAAGAAAATATTCTCCATTTTTGTTACAACTATTTTAATTTAAAAAATTAGGGTTGCATTCCTTTTTAAGACATGGAAAATGCTTAAAAACTAAAATTGTCATGATAAATTTCATTCTAATATTTCAAATAACTTTTTTGAAGATAATGGTATAATTTCGGATATATATATTTGTCAATTTATTAAGTTACAATGACCGAAATCCGGATATTATGTACTCATTTGCTTTGCTTGTTGTTGGGAGCCGGAGAAAAATGAAATGGCATTACAGTGAACGCTCTCCTTTTTTCACTATTTTTTCCGCATTTCCCTTCGTCGTATCGTTGCTAAATTAATTTGTTTACGATAACTGGATTGGTAGAAGGAAAGCACGATTAATACAGACTGCCCTTGTTTAGGAAGCACGAGAGAGTGTAGAATTATTAACAAGTTCTTGTAACTTTTAACATACAACACAATACGTACCCCGACATATAGGCAAATCCGAGTCCCAACGTCCGTCTGTCCGACACCTCAGGGTCGAAGATCCTTCCATAATATAACCAGATTGACAGGTAAGTGTGATAGAGTCACCATACCCGTACGACTTTTCAGCAAACAAAAAGTGTTGTTCCTCACCAGGAGAGGGGCATATAACAGCTAGGGATAAAAAGGTGTGATAATGTTATTACTGAAAACAGGGTGGGACGGTATGGTTGTTTGATTGGGAGCGATAGGACGTCAACACCATTAAAAATACACGTGCATTTCAATGAGCAATTAGCTAAGTGAACCAACAAAATAATATGAAGTAAGTCACGAGAGTTTGATTCCGTTATCGAACTGCCATCAATTCAATGAGACATCGATTAAAATAAATTGATATAGGCAAGTGGGATTTTTACAGGCAGATGTAAACAAAATTCTTTATTTTCACCTATTTTCATAAACATATGCTTATGTACTACACAGATAAAGGAAAATTTTCATTTCCTTCAGTTTTTTTGCTACTGAGGAAGTTCTGTACTGGTGAGTATCGAATGTGCTTCAAGATTATGGATAAATGTGATTTTTTCTTCTTGGCACCACAAAAGTGAATGTATCAATACTTGATTTCAACTGATTGACCACTAAAACGTGCTGATTGACCACTAAAACGTGCTGATTGACCACTAAAACGTGCTGATTGACCACTAAACGGGCTGACTGACCACTAAAACGTGCTGATTGACTAGTAAAACGTGCTGATTGACCACTAATCGTGCTGATTGACCACTAAACGTGCTGATTGACCACTAAAACGTGCTGATTGACCAGTAAAACGTGCTGATTGACCACTAAACGTGCTGATTGACCAGTAAAACGTGCTGATTGACCACTAAATGTGCTGATTGACCAGTAAAACGTGCTGATTGACCAGTAAAACGTGCTGATTGACCAGTAAAACGTGCTGATTGACTACTAAAACGTGCTGATTGACCAGTAAAACGTGCTGATTGACCACTAAACGTGCTGATTGACCACTAAAACGTGCTGATTGACCACTAAAACGTGCTGATTGACCAGTAAAACGTGCTGATTGACCACTAAACGGGCTGATTGACCAGTAAAACGTGCTGATTGACCACTAAAACGTGCTGATTGACTACTAAACGTGCTGATTGACCAGTAAAACATGCTGATTGACCACTAAAACGTGCTGATTGACCAGTAAAACGTGCTGAATGACCACTAAAACGTGCTGATTGACCACTAAACGTGCTGATTGACCACTAAAACGTGCTGATTGACCAGTAAAACGTGCTGATTGACCACTAAAACGTGCTGATTGACCAAAAAAACGTGCTGATTGACCAGTAAAACGTGCTGATTGACCACTAAAACGTGCTGATTGACCACTAAACGTGCTGATTGACCACTAAAACGTGCTGATTGACCAGTAAAACGTGCTGATTGACCAGTAAAACGTGCTGAATGACCAGTAAAACGTGCTGATTGACAAGTAAAACGTGCTGATTGACCACTAAAACGTGCTGATTGACCAGCAAAACGTGCTGATTGACCACTAAAACGTGCTGATTGACCACTAAACGTACTGATTGACCACTAAAACGTGCTGATTGACCACTAAAACGTGCTGATTGACCACTAAAACGTGCTGATTGACCACTAAACGTGCTGATTGACCACTAAAACGTTCTGAATGACCAGTAAAACGTGCTGATTGACCACTAAACGTGCTGATTGACCACTAAAACGTGCTGATTGACCAGTAAAACGTGCCGATTGACTACTAAACGTGCCGATTGACCAGTAAAACGTGCTGATTGGCCACTAAACCGTGCTGATTGACCAGTAAAACGTGCTGATTGACCAGTAAAACGTGCTGAATGACCACTAAACTTGCTGATTGACCACTAAACGGGCTGATTGACCAGTAAAACGTGCTGATTGACCACTAAAACGTGCTGATTGACTACTAAACGTGCTGATTGACCAGTAAAACATGCTGATTGACCACTAAAACGTGCTGATTGACCAGTAAAACGTGCTGAATGACCACTAAAACGTGCTGATTGACCACTAAAACGTGCTGATTGACCACTAAAACGTGCTGATTGACCACTAAAACGTGCTGATTGACCACAAAAACGTGCTGATTGACCAGTAAAACGTGCTGATTGACCACTAAAACGTGCTGATTGACCACTAAACGTGCTGATTGACCACTAAAACGTGCTGATTGACCACTAAAACGTGCTGATTGACCAGTAAAACGTGCTGATTGACCACTAAACGTGCTGATTGACCACTAAAACGTTCTGAATGACCAGTAAAACGTGCTGATTGACCACTAAACGTGCTGATTGACCACTAAAACGTGCTGATTGACCAGTAAAACGTGCCGATTGACTACTAAACGTGCCGATTGACCAGTAAAACGTGCTGATTGGCCACTAAACCGTGCTGATTGACCAGTAAAACGTGCTGATTGACCAGTAAAACGTGCTGAATGACCACTAAACTTGCTGATTGACCACTAAACGTGCTGATGGACCACTAAACGTACTGATTTGCCACTAAAACGTGCCGATTGACCACTAAAACGTGCCGATTGACCACTAAACGTGCTAATTGACCACTGAACGTGCTGATTGACCATTAAGGATCTACTACTTACTTTAAGGTTAGTTAGAGTCAACGGTTAACCAGCGACCAGTGAAATGCGTTGTGCAACAGAAAATACAAGTGCTTCAAGGCAAAATGAATGCTCCAAATACCCGGTATATGAATTTGACCTGTCTCAACAAATCTTCAGCTTTGAAGTGATCAAGAATGTTCTCAATTTTGTTTATTTTTGAAAATTTTCACTGACCGCTAGTTATGATGTAAATTTCTTGATTAAAAACAGAAGATATATTTTGAGTGTTGATTTGAATCTAACACTGATGTTTGTTCGGTGTTATCAATTTCGCTTAACCACTGTTAACTCTAACAAACATTTGAGCAACCGGGCCTGACTGTATCATACGGAATTATCTAATGACTGCATTCGATGAGAAAACATAATTTGTGATCAATTGCGTCATGAATATATTAATATTTACTGTGACGGTTAGTCAATAAAATAACTTACTTCTGTGGTAACTACAGACAACCTATTGATAAACCCAGTGACTTGTCGATATTAAGATTTTGGAAATTTTCTTCAAGCTGGTGTATTTTTGTCTACAATCTGGTTACCATCTCGTCACATTATTTTCGACCTTAGTGTACATGGGATTATAATGATTCCGTACATCTCGCACACTACGTGCGTCAGTGCTAGTACGCTCCATACTGGTCATTTTTCTGATGAAAGTGACCGTGTTGTCATCGAAACGTTACACTCTAATTTTTCTACTGGTTGTGTTTGAAGAACTCGATCCCATAATCAATATTAAATTTCATATTTTACACTGGAATACCAATTCCGTATGTTAGAAATATATATCAATTCGTTCAGTACTTACCGTTACAACTTGGGAAAGGCATACTCCAGGAGCCGTCAGCTGTACAGACAAGGATTCCCTGACCAACCATATGGAAGCCCACTGGACAGGAGAAGTGGACTTTGTCAGAGAAATGATAAGTCTTGTATTCATATCTCAGTTGTGGGTGTTGACCTGTGATTCCGCACTGTATCTCTACAAGGGAGACATATTTTAACTGATTCACAATCACTGTTTCATATCACGGTCCAGTCCCAGATAACTGATAATACATTTAGTTGAGTGGGGTGATGAGAGATGTACATATATCGTATACATGATACACTATAGATGACTCGAAAGGAAACCGATTTTGGTCACTCGAGAGCTGATGACTGAGGTAAGAGGGATCAAACTCAAAAGTGGACGAAACAAGCAAAGATTAGCCAAAGTGAATTTAATTCTTGTAAAAAAATGATAGTTACATCTAAAATTGTATTCCCATTTCGTAGCATAATGCATATATACAAATATCTTAAAATAAATTTCATCAAAATCAATACTTTGGCAAGTTTAAATGATAAAAGGTCATTAGCGTAATCTGAATTGAGTGTCGTTGTGAATTGGAGTGTTTCACCAAGACGTTGGCACACAACTCTACAAGACAGCTGGCTCTGCTACCTGTACACATCGGGAAACTGGAACTCCAGCTTTTGTCGCTACGACAAGTTAAAGTTGAACTTCCGATCAGAGTGAATCCATTTACACATGTTAATTCCAAAGTGTCGTTGAAATGATATGTACGGGTCTGGTACAACAGGTTCTTGTCAATATTGGACTGGATCGGACAAACAATAGCTGGAATAATGCAAAATAAAAGATATGTATAGAAGACACAGGAGTAAACGATACTATCAACACTTATCTAGAAATACACTTTGTAGATACAATATAGCGAAACTAGAAACTAAATGCTACAGCTGTTTAGTATTAATAGGACCTAAGACTCGTCGGTGATGATGAGGGCCTAATTGTTGAAAAACTTAAAACACGACCATGGAAAATCGTAATTGCTTGAGTTTTATAAATAAAAAAAAATTAAAAACAATTTAAAAAAAGGTAAATATTTGATAATTTCAAAATGTATTTTGAACAATTACACAATTACATCAGGTGAAGTATGGATTAAAACATGACGTGTAAAGATTCACGTGTTTAACGAGTAACCAGCACCAGTCAATCAGACAGAAGTATTCACATTTTTAGGATGAAAAAAAAACTAACACAAACTATATTTCATATTAATGATTTCATCTAAATCAGTGACTGAAATTTGTGAATTTGTTGTTTACAATGTATTTCATACGTCTGGTTCATTTCTATTTCCAATATTACGCTATGATGTGGTTTATTATTTACATGTCAACCTTGCTTTGTTTTTAATCCGTACTGTTAAGGGTGGGGATTTGATGACACGGTTACAATGTAATAAGGCTCCTGATGTCTCTTTAGTGTTTTCAATGTATAATCTGTCAGACATATTGATTTTGTGTTCAATTTTTACAGACCTAAACATGTAGGGAATGTGCCGGACCAGGAACCATCCGCCTGACACCGTAGACTTCTCGTACCCAACAGTTCGTATCCCATGGCACACGAAAAGTAGGCGTGGTCATCGTAATAGTAATCCTTTGCGTCCACTATCAAATGACTATTAAAGCGAGGCTCAAGGTCACAGACTAAAACAGACATACTGATATGTGTGTATATACATATAATGATGATATTGATATATTGATGTATGTTTATTTTCCGGTGTGTATGTTTGGTTTGGTGTGAAGGAAAACTAACCGCTATACGCTTGCAGTAAAAATCAGTGTGAATCTGCTTTTGCGTTTTTTTGTTCCATTTTTTTAATCTTATGAATTAATTTTTTAATAAGCTAGAAAGCTCAAAGCAATATGTGAATGGAAATGCATATAGTTAAAATCTCTCACAAAAATTCATAAAAATAAAATTGCCCGCGAAATTGGAATCAGCTGTTTTGCTGATCCACAAGTTGTTGGATGGTTTAGTCAATGCGTGTTACATCCAATGAATGACGATGACTGTTTTTTTTCAGGGTCGTAAATAAAGGAAACAAATGCTTCAAAATGTAAATATCAGAATTAATTTTCCTTTTTTGTTATTACTGGTGTGAAAACTGCATTTTATTTTTGTAAACAAAATGCAGATTGCACACCAGTAAACACAAATCTATCATTCCTCATCACAGATTGCTCTTACAGATTCTAAACACACAGCAAATATATTTCATATTTTGAAAAAAATATTGGCCATAGTTGCTTGTAGAATATACAAAGCAAGTTTAGGATTGCCATAACTTTTAAGTGTTACTGAAGATACCCCTTAAACAGGAAAAAACTGACCGCATCGTGGTAGGTCGCACAGCTCCCACTGCAGTCCGGGGTCCGTGGTGTAACACCAGGGACCGCCACTGTTTCGGTTCGGGTTCCTGCAGTAGTTTGCTTGGTCTGCTAACGTGAAGTATCCGTGTGAATGAGGTATCTGTGACGCCCACTTCTGACAAACACGTCCCGAGGTTGTTACGTTCATCAGACCTTTATAGTCTCTTCCATTTTGTTTTAACTTGCATTCTTTGGCTGAAAGTATTGTATTCAATATCAGTGGCCAAACGGCAAGGTGTAATAAACATGTTTTGTCTAAGTCGAGACAGGCAACAAACAGCAAGGTGTAATAAACATGTTTTGTCTAAGGCGAGACAGGCAACAAACAGCAAGGTGTAATAAACAAGTTTTGTCTAAGTCGAGACAGGCAACAAACAGCACGGTGTAATAAATATGTTTTGTCTAAGTCGAGACAGACAACAAACAGCAAGGTGTAATAAACATGTTTTGTCTAAGTCGAGACAGGCAACAAACAGCACGGTGTAATAAATATGTTTTGTCTAAGTCGAGACAGGCAACAAACAGCACGGTGTAATAAATATGTTTTGTCTAAGGCGAGACAGGCAACAAACAGCACGGTGTAATAAATATGTTTTGTCTAAGGCGAGACAGGCAACAAACAGCACGGTGTAATAAATATGTTTTGTCTAAGGCGAGACAGGCAACAAACAGCACGGTGTAATAAACATGTTTTGTCTAAGTCGAGACAGACAACAATAAACGTATTTTGTCTAAGGAGAGACACGCACGCACGCACGCACTTAAAAAACACACTATAACGTGACTGAAAAGAGGACTCAAAGGAGAAAAAATAAATTTCATATACACAACAACAAGTACCAACAGGTACAACGTATGTTGTGAAAGAGGTAGAAGGAGTTCCAAATAATTGTAGAAGATTGGAATCTTACCAATACATTCTGGTAAATCCTGGTCCCACGATGAGCCTGGGCCACAAGTAAGAATGGACGGACCCTTCATGTCGTACTCCATGGGACAAGAAAACGACACGGTGTCTCCATAGTAGAATTTCCTATCAGGGTACACCAGTTGCTCCTGATATACTTTACATTCCACGGCTAAACGGAAGAGAATAACAAAACTCCATATGAGTTGGAATACCAAGGTTAAAAAGATCTTGTGCAGCTCAAAACTATTTGATATGTCCTCGCGTAACATTTAGTTATAGGATTGCACTAAACACCGCGCACTTTGTATCTAGTGACGAATAATTTGTACCGGAGTTTCATTAGGGAAAGTACATCACTTACTTGGCATAACCTAGATTTACAATACGAGTGTCATAAATAATAATAATAATAATAATAAAAAAAAAACAAAAAACGCTTACCCTTTCAGATCTTTTTCATTCACAATGAAGTTTTTACTTTCAAAAACGTAAATATTGAATATTTATTTACAAAGGGTGATTTAAGTCTTACCATCACAACTTGGGGTGGTTTTATCCCACACACCATCTCTACACTGGGCGAAGTAGTACGTGGACGATAACCTGTAACCGGTGTCACATGTGAATACCACGATATTGTGGTAGGTTCTGGTATCTATCATCAGATGGGGGTCAGACGAAACGGGGTCAGCACAGTCTGTAGATACGAAACTTTACATCGTCATTAAGATTTTTTTATTGCATACACAACCATTCGGATTTGTTCCAACACAAGCATCAGTCTTCAAGAAAATGAAACTGATAGCTTATCAATACTGTCACGTTAACACTATCTGAAATCGAAGTTGATGGAACGAAGCAAATTATGAACGAAACAAAGGTTTACATCATTTGTAATTGGTGTTTCTGAAGGATGAGCGTCACACACTTCATTCTCGAAAACTTCCACGATCTTGGCAAATCACGTGATGTTAATAAGTACAAAGTTTAAGCTTGGAGTCTGACTTTAGAACACGGAGTATAAAGTCATTTTCTAAAAGATATAGTTATAAAATGAAAAATGCAATATTGATAGATATTTGCGAAAAAAAAACCCACTTTGTTACATAAAGACTGGCTAGCGTGGACACATCAGCCAAAAAGGGACTGACTTTAATACAAACTATGTTTCCTTATGTTTCGTTGTCTGGGTTAATGTGTAATACAGTGTCAACCCAGATATGTTGATGACGCAATAAAACATCAGAATTCAACAACACATGTAATACAAATTTAGAGTTAGATAGAGTAGAGCCAATCAATGAATTAAACTACATCCTACAGCTGTTTGGTCCTTTTAGTGATGCTAATGACTCAAGCTTTAAAAGCTAGGAGGAGACTGAGGAAACGTCACATTGGTTGCAATAAATGTCAAAATCTAGATATGATTTATGTTGGCCGGCCTCCCCAAAACTCAATAAATTTACACATCTAATAATTTCAGAAGTAAATGTGTCACAGTGACCTAATTATCTACCAGTCCTTCTGTTGCCCCAGAATAGATCACTATGACAAATCAATTGCTCTGAAAAATACGGGATAACAAATTAGGTCACGGTGACCTAATTCTCTACCAGTCCTTCTGTTGCCCAAGAATAGATCACCATGACAAATCAATTGCTCTGAAAGATACGGGATCACAAATTAGGTAACTGTGACCTAATACTCTACCAGTCCTTCTATTGCCCCAGAATAGATCACCATGACAAATCAATTGCTCAGAATGATACGGGATCACAAATTAGGTCACTGTGACCTAATACTCTACCAGTCCTTCTGTTGCCCCAGAATAGATCACCATCACAAATAAATTGCTCTGAAAGATACGGGATCACAAATTAGGTCACTGTGACCTAAAAGTCTATCAGGCCTGCTGTTGTCACAGAATAGATCACCATGACAAATCAATTGCTCTGAAAGATACGGGATAACAAATTAGGTCACTGTGACCTAATAGTCCAGAAAAGATCATCATTAACTATATCTTTACTGATTATAAAGTTGATGATGAACAAATTATAAATATGACTTGTAATAATGGATGAAACATATAGAGAATCAGATCGACCGAAATCTTTATTCCTGTGAGAAAAATGCTCCCAACCTGACAGCAACAACCTTGAGGAACTCTGAGAATATACACAATCAGGCAAAGTAACAACGTTAGGATTTCGTTAATGTCTAGAATCTCCGAACAAGTCATTAGTACTGTTTACTAACAATATACAGTTAGAGAATATGTCACATCACTGTGGCATGGACGGCTATGACGACGTTAGTGATCAAAATATGATATGTACACATGAAATGCAAGGTCAAAGGCAAATGTTCTCACCGTTTTGAGCAGTACCGGAAGTCCAGCAAGCAGTAACAATGAAGAGGGTAAATAGCGAATTCATTTTCCTCCGAGAAAGATCGTACTGTTTCAGACAGAATATCGATAAAGTGATTGTCTAGTCTGATACATACAGAGTCCGGAAGTAGACAGTTCCGTCCGTCAGAATGTACTTCCGGTTACAAAGAGAATCCCAACCAGTTGTTGAGTAAGCACCAATATACAACGCCTACGACAAAAAAGTAAGTTTATTTATCAGTACATACATTAACTGTTTTTTTTCGCCTTGAGTATCGATTGAGACAACAACAACGGTAATATTTCGCCTTTATCAGTTTTGTAGGCTTGAGGTATTGTTGATCTTCGTTGGTTTTGTTTTTTTATTTATTTAAAAAAAAATTATTCGTTCGTTAGTCTTTTGTGTTTCAGAAAGCACTTTTGATATGGTAGGAGCTGTTCTAGCTGTTTGTAGAAAGATTATCATTATAAAACACCAACTGAGAAAAACTGAATGACAAACACTGTGACATTTCTCTGTAATGGTCACAAAGCTACAGACCTTTTATATATATATATATATATATATATATATATATATATATATATATACTGGACTACTTTTATTGAGTCCGTGGGTATCTTAACCCACGAATTTTTATATCAACGAAGTGATAAAAGAAAAAAATGATACATGGCAAATCACGAAATTTGATCCCCACGAAAATATGTTATCAGACAGTAAATATACAGATGAATACATTAGATATGTCATTTTGATAACAAATTAACTTTTCCACAGTTATTAGATATATCGACCACTCTGAAACTGACACGAGGTACAGCATGTTTTGGACGCTGAAATAGACACTTCAAGTTACAGCCTGTATAATAGACACAAATGACAGTCTGTGGAATACAAGTAGTATACAGCCACCGCAAAAGACATGCCGATTTCAGAAATGACTTACAGCCTCTTGAAATAGCAATAGCTTACAGTCTCTGAGATAGACACGACTTACAGTCACTGAAATAGACGCGACTTACAGTCACTGAAATAGACGCGACTTACAGTCACTGAAATAGACCCGACTTACAGTCACTGAAATAGACACGAGGTACAAAATCTTGAAATAGACACGACTTAACGGTCAGTGAAATAGACCCGACTTACAGTCACTGAAATAGACGCGACTTACATCCTCTGAAATAGACTCGACTTACAGTCAGTGAAATAGACGCGACTTACAGTCACTGAAATAGACCCGACTTACAGTCACTGAAATAGACACGAGGTACAAAATCTTGAAATAGACACGACTTAACGGTCAGTGAAATAGACCCGACTTACAGTCACTGAAATAGACGCGACTTACATCCTCTGAAATAGACCCGACTTACAGTCAGTGAAATAGACACGACTTACAGTCACTGAAATAGACACGACTTACAGTCACTGAAATAGACGCGACTTACAGTCACTGAAATAGACCCGACTTACAGTCACTGAAATAGACCCGACTTACAGTCACTGAAATAGACACGACTTACAGTCACTGAAATAGACACGACTTACAGTCACTGAAATAGACCCGACTTACAGTCACTGAAATAGACACGACTTACAGTCACTGAAATAGACACGACTTACAGTCACTGAAATAGACACGACTTACAGTCACTGAAATAGACGCGACTTACAGTCACTGAAGTAGACACGACTTACAGTCACTGATATAGACACGACTTACAGTCACTGAAATAGACACGACTTACAGTCACTGAAATAGACACGACTTACAGTCACTGAAATAGACACGACTTACAGTCACTGAAATAGACACGACTTACAGCCTCTGAAATAGACCCGACTTACAGTCACTGAAATAGACACGACTTACAGTCACTGAAATAGACACGACTAACAGTCACTGAAATAGACACGACTAACAGTCACTGAAATAGACACGACTTACAGTCACTGAAATAGACGCGACTTACAGTCACTGAAATAGACCCGACTTACAGTCAGTGAAATAGACACGACTTACAGTCACTGAAATAGACACGACTTACAGCCTCTGAAATAGACACGACTTACAGCCTCTGAAATAGACCCGACTTACATCCTCTGAAATAGACACGACTTACAGTCACTGAAATAGACACGACTTACAGTCACTGAAATAGACCCGACTTACAGTCACTGAAATAGACCCGACTTACAGTCACTGAAATAGACACGACTAACAGTCACTGAAATAGACACGACTTACAGTCACTGAAATAGACCCGACTTACAGTCACTGAAATAGACACGAGGTACAACATCTTGAAATAGACACGACTTACAGTCACTGAAATAGACCCGACTTACAGTCACTGAAATAGACACGAGGTACAACATCTTGAAATAGACACGACTTACAGTCAGTGAAATAGACCCGACTTACAGTCACTGAAATAGACCCGACTTACATCCTCTGAAATAGACCCGACTTACAGTCAGTGAAATAGACACGACTTACAGTCACTGAAATAGACACGAGGTACAACATCTTGAAATAGACACGACTTACAGTCACTGAAATAGACACGACTTACAGTCACTGAAATAGACGCGACTTACAGTCACTGAAATAGACACGACTTACAGTCACTGATATAGACACGACTTACAGTCACTGAAATAGACACGACTTACAGCCTCTGAAATAGACACGACTTGCAGTCACTGAAATAGACACGACTTACATCCTCTGAAATAGACACGACTTACAGCCTCTGAAATAGACACGACTTACAGTCACTGAAATAGACACGACTTACAGTCACTGAAATAGACCCGACTTACAGCCACTGAAATAGACGCGACTTACAGTCACTGAAATAGACACGACTTACAGCCTCTGAAATAGACACGACTTACAGTCACTGAAAAAGACACGACTTACAGTCACTGAAATAGACACGACTTACAGTCACTGAAATAGACGCGACTTACAGTCACTGATAAGACCCGACTTACAGTCACTGAAATAGACACGACTTACAGTCACTGAAATAGACACGACTTACAGCCTCTGAAATAGACACGACTTACATCCTCTGAAATAGACACGACTTACAGTCACTGAAATAGACACGACTTACAGTCACTGAAATAGACACGACTTACAGTCACTGAAATAGACACGACTTACAGCCTCTGAAATAGACACGACTTACAGCCCCTGAATTTCCTCTTCTTGAATAAAACTGGTGATATATATATTGTTAACTTTAAGGAAAAGGACTATTAGCATGCTACAAGACGGCGGAACACAAGATTACACGACGGTTGGAGTGTATCCAAAAGACGTTATGCAATTGATGGCAACGTTAAATCCAACCGACCCAACATCCAACTGTCAAAAGACGTCCGACTACGGCTTACCGAACCCCGTGAAGAAGTCTCACATTGTTACAGCATATTCTATATAGTTTTTATACATGCAACCACTACAACAAGGACTTGAACAACGGGTATGCAGCCAGACTTTATGTAACAGGCTGAAACAACACTAAGATTAAAATACAATACACTCATTCTACAGTACAACCAATACAACGTTATATTGTCATGATATATATAGTATTACACATATACTACATTAATTAGTGACGGTACAATCACAATTGGGTGTAATAAACTTTTACTACAATATAGCATTATGTAAAAAATCGATTTTTAGGCTAAACGTACTCAGTACGCATAGCCTATTGCTATGGCCTTTCAGACAAAATTTACCGATCCTGGCCTTCTCATTGGCTGAAATATCGAAAAGAGTTAGAGCCATCTAGCGGCAATTTTCTGCGTAAATAATGCCGCGATCTTTCAAATCGCTATTTTAAAAGCATCCAAAATTAGTTTATTTTTTAATAACAATACGATTACTATATATTTCAAAAAAGAAGCACAGTGTGGTTGAACTATTGATAAATTTTGAACAATATATTTTACGGAATTCTCGACATGACGTAAGCGTACAGAACACTGTACGTGCGAGTTGATAAGAAGCTAGTCTGGGGACTTGGTTTGAATTATCAACTAACAACACTTATAAACAAACAAAACTTACAAACAGAACATCAGTTTTGTTTTAATCCTGGTCGTTGTGGCAAGATCGTCTTAATATATAACATCACTTTACCTCAGTAGACGTCACCGAATTGGACTGTTCGTCCCACGCGCACACCCGCCGATATGACACTTTTTTCAGGTTTTTCACACCCACCGCCATGACACTTTTTCAAGTTTTTGAAGATAAAATGTTTGCGCTTCGTAAGCAAGGTACATTTGGTGCTCATGATTTATGAATAATATATATTTTAATACTGTACTGATCATGATGTTGACTCTGTCATAACTTATATTTTTTGTCTTTTAGTTTTATTTGATGAAGATTGATTGTGCTGATTTCTCAAGGTTTGTTAATTTGTATCAAAGTTCCTTGAATTGAAAATATTTCTTCAAATAAAGCGCGTATAAAAAAACCCAAAATATTCATGTTTATAATTATCAATTAACTAGAACGAAATATTTCCATAACATATTTATTCATTTAGCGTGTCATGGTGACATTATCTAATGCATTGGAGATCAGAAATAGTAGTAGCTATAGTGAAAATATTGTAAATTTTGTATATATATGGAAGTCTGGTTTAATCTCAAAGAACTAGGTGTTTATAGACATAATTGCTGGAAGAAAACTCTAACCATGATACTTCTAGGAAGATAGACACTTTAATCTATCTGTAATGCTGTGTACACCTTATCTACTTTCCTCAACTACAAATATAATTACAATAAGTAAGGACTATTACTTTGCAATACATTCAAAATAAAGAAGTAGGTATGAAGTCCTTTCGATTTGTCTAAATCCTCATATTGATAGGATAGTAATTGCAACTTCTTGGGTATTTCAAAGGTTTTATTTAGTCAACTTCATCATAGAGCTATTAATCATTTGGCTTGTTGGCGATAAATATATGGTTGTGTGTATTTTGTTATTTTTTTACCTATTTTGATTTGTTCACATTATTGTCGTCAAATTTGAAATAAGAATTAAAGAAGATATAAAATCGCCTAAAATTAAAAAAAAATAGCCTCTGGTGCTCTTATGTTAGTAATTTTTGCATTCCAAAGTGTAGGAGTATGGGGAAAGTAATATAGCTTTGCGGTTATTTGTG